TCATGACGGTCTGGCGTAGTGGTTATCGCGCATGGATTGTATGCTGCGCTATCCCGGTTCGAGTCCCGCTGGAAGTGCTGATGAAACCTAAGCAAGGTTGAGACGGCAATCCAATCTGGATGATAATACCTTTTGGGAAGCAAGGCTGCGTAAAAGTTAATGGCATCCCACGGTCTAATTATATAATTGTGGGACAAGTGAACTACTAGCGAGACTACTTATATTCGATGTAAGTAGTGAATAAGAACTTTTGTAATTAAGGCTGAGTAAAATCCAATGATATTATGAGGTCTACTTATATGCTTGTGTGAGAATTCAACTGTCAGTCCTTGGTCATTCTTTGAGACCTAAGTTGATACAGATCTTATAAAAGACCTATTGTTCGCCTAGATACCACGCCTGCGATACACTAGTCCTCTTGCCTGATGTTAGCGTTGACAAACAATACGGTTTCATGGGCCCGACGCCAGGCCAATCCACCATGACGATCGGCCGAGTGGTGGTAAGAAGAGATGTGGGCACCGACACGGTTGTCTGTCAGTTGGACGTCTGTCAGGTTGATCGAGGGCGCCGGAAGCAGTCGCGATAACTCGGCGAGCCGACCGAGTCTGTCTGCATCGGCTCCAAAAGCAAGTGCATGCAGACGGACCATCTCCTCCTCCACTAAGCGTTCAAGAGAAGGCCTAAAGTCTGGAAAAAAAAGAAACAGTGCACGATCATGCCGTCTTATGTGTATGTGTGCGTTTGTGTGCCTGTGAGGGTATGAAACTCAGGCTGAAGTAGTTTGAGAGAACAAAATCAACTGGATCAAAGCTAATAAAAAATGAGTCAAAGTAGGCTGAGACACGAAGACCAAGATTGTGTGGGTTTGTGAGCGAAGCCTGCTTTCATGGCACAGGGTTGGTTTGACCTCTTCTTCCCAATTAGCTCGTGGCGCCAGGGAAGCCTTCGAGAATGTGCCCAGTTGAGTGTGCAGTCTCCAAGAGGACGGACTCTTTTGCTCGTCACTTGGGCTAGCGCCAAGGATGATTCTTCTTGCTGACGCCGCCAGCAGCTGCGAAGTCTGTGAGTGTACCAAGTCAACGGTCCGACGCTAGACATTCTCACGACTGTTCTGGTAAAGATGCAGGACCGCGTACATGAGACAAGATCGCTCTGACAACATGACTAAGTTGCGAAATGGAGATTGAAACAAAAAACGGAAAGTAAGCAACTTTATGTGGAAGCCCGAATGGACTAATAAATACGCAAGCCTGATTATCATTCTCGTCACAATCCGTCACCATCACATTGATTAGCATCGTAAAAGGCCATTGTGCTAAAAGTACTCACGGCTCTCTTTTACCTCAAAAATGTCCACTCGTCAGCATGACTCATCCGAACTGAATTATCGCGTCGACCAATCAAATCTGGCCACTGCATAGAGCCCACTTTTGGACCTGTCAGAGCGGGGCAATTTGAGCCAATCAGACGCTGGCGTTCATATAAAGCAACTGCTTAAAGCAGTGGTTCCCAGACTTTTCCTAGTCGCGGCGCCCTTTTCAATTAACATTTTTTCATGACGCCTTACTCTAAGTATGACTATTCGCAAGTAAGGGATAAAAACAAATAAAACTTGTGTATCTTCATTATTTTTTTTACTTTATTAACATTAAATTAATATTTAATAATTAATATGATGGATGAGCCTGCAAATCACTACACATTTTCTCAAAGTGAAGCTTTTACACTATTTCGCGGCACCCCTGCTAAGAGGCTTAAAGCATGAGCTGCTCCAGAGGCCGCGACATTTACAGTGCCCTCGTTGCTCGTTGCGTTTCCAGATGCATCACATGCCTGCCTCAGGTTCAGCTCTTGGAAAGTTTCGAGGCTCGTCTCATTTGCGGCCTCTGGAGCCCCACGCCGACAGCGTCATATCGTCAGCCGACACGATTTCCTCTTGGATTGTTAGGCGCGCTTATCTTCGCGCGGCCGCCCAAATGATTGCCACATTCTCGCACACCACTCCTGTTCACTTTTGCATCTGTGATGGTACAAACAAGAAGTACCGTACTCAATGTCCCCGGCAAAGTCTTTCAGCGACCGTGTCGTCTACGTCGGCATCTACAAGACGGCAATTGCTACTCAGGACCTACTTGCACATCAACGCGTTGAGCCTTTGCAGCATCCTCTTCATCGGCGTCTCCACATTGGCGAAGCTCTTTTGGTCGCTTCGCTCCAGCACCTTCCTTCCCCAATATCCTCCTGTTTTAGTCACGATGTACGCATACAACAAATCTTTCAAAGAAACTTGATCAACAGGGGATCGAAAGAGGGAAAAGTCAGCGATAATTTCGCGTGCTGCCTGGGCAGACTTGGAGATTCGGCGAAGACATCAAGAAGAAGACGCTTGGACCCAGGACCACTGTTCTACAATAGGAAGAGACACAGCCAGAGAACGGCCCACGAGGAGCAGAGAAAGTCAGGGAAAGGCAAATGCAGTGAGAAGAGTCAAACCAGGAATTGGGCCAGAGTTTACCCGAGGATCTACCGGTGAGACATAGGATATGAAATTAAAGTCTAAAGGTATAGGCGAGCCAGATGTGGGTCACCAGCATGTGTGCGTTGGTGTTTGTATGTATTCTTCGTATCTAGGCCTGAAGGGTAGGCGACTGGTGACGTACTTGGCCACTGGGGATAACCAACACACACACACAGTAACTTGATCCCAGTATCCTAGGATTAGATGGGAATTTCAACTTGAGAGACGAGAGGTGTACTTTTGCGATCCAAGGGAGAAAAGGGAAGAGGTGCATTCTCGCACCAGCGGTTGACTTAAACCGAACACAAGGCCCCAAAGAATGAAACATAATGTGGATGGGGAGTCATAGGTTTGGAGCCTAGGGAGTGGGAGATTACCGGGCACTTGCATGTGCATGGGCATGGATATGGGCATCATCAACTCGAAATCCTCGAATATGGCATAATCGAGGACGGGAATTGAAGGCTCTTAGGCGGCCAGATTTCAGACATTCAGACAGTGAGAAGCTTATCGAGGCCACCAGTAAATCACAAATATGGTTTGTCTTCACCCTATTTAGTATAAAGTGGTGAAGAACTGGTAGTTGATTTGTCCCACAATGCTGTGAGAATAGCTGATGCACTGAATCCTCGAATATGGCGCAATTGAGGACGGGAATTGAAGGCTTTTGGGCAGCCGGATTTCAGACT